GTATATTATACATATAACATACAAAATGTGTGTTTACTGTTTATGTTATTGGTAAGGCTTCCGGTCAACAGTAGGCTGTTACTTTGTTCATCTGGGGGGAGTCAAAAAATACACAGAGTTCTGACCGCGCGGGGGTTTGGCGCCCCGAACTCCAAAGTTGTTCAAGGGCTAAGGGCCCTTGGACAGTGTGTCGGATGGACTGCAACCAGCCCCACCCCAGCAGGAAGTGGTGGTGAGCGGCTGTGCGGCACGGAGAAACTCTCCCTCCTGAGAACTGGGACAGAGTGACTTAAAACTGATTCAAAGCTGGGGTCACAAGCTCAAAGGTCTGCCAGGGCTCAGGAAGTAGTGACAATATAGAAACCAGAACCTGGGTAGGATAAAAGAAGTGGGTCTTGTGGCTGAACTAGAGAATTCAATTCCATGTAAAAGAAGGAACACTCAGGTATGGGGAGGGGGGCAGTAGGGGGAAGGTACTTCAGAAAGAAAACACGTGGTAGCAGGGACTCAGCCCAGGATCACCCGGTGACTCCTAATTTGGAGCTTTGGTGGCTGGGATTCCTGTTTGGAAAGCTGAACCTAGGATACCACGAAAATATTTTCAAAGTCAAGCCTCTGCCGCCCTGTCTGAAACCCTGTCTGTGTAGAGGTCGCCGGAGTTCTGAGACCTGGCCTCCCTCTGTGTCCAGCCCTCTGTGCCACCGTCCTGGGGGTTCCAAAATCTACAAAGACAGACCGAAAAGTCCGATTTGGGGGCCTCTCTTTCATCGCCAGTCATCTTGCCCACTACCTCCACCCACTGCAGTGAGCGCACCCTGTCTGGTGCTTAGTCTCGCCCCTTCCTCTTTAAATCTTCGTTCGGACCACAGCCTCTTTCTAGAAAGTTGCTAGTGTACTACTTCAATCCACTCAGGGTTCCCTGTCCTCTGACCCATCAGCCGGCTCCTCTTTAATCCTTTCCCAACTCAGGACAATGTCAGCCATGCCCTTGATGATGACAATCTTTATTTTCTATGACGCTTTTGCTCCATATTCCTGATAAACCCAATCCTGATGAATCCAATTATTGCAGTCTCCATGTCCACACTTGGTTTGCTGGTAGAAAAGTAAAATCCTAAAACTACACAGAAAAGTGGCTTGGTACATGGATTTCATTTCATCTTCAGAATTACTCCATGCAGTAGATACTAGTGTGATTCTTATCTTCAAGGGGAAGAAAATGAGTCTTTGAGAGGTCAAAACATGCCTGCTGTCACTCAGCCAAAGGAATGAGCGAGCTTGAAGGCACCCATGGGCGGTCCCCGGTCTGGAGACAACACCCGCGGCCCCTAAGCCACACAGCATCGTTCTTCATTGGGCCCCTGGCGTCGCCCACAACCATCTGTCTGTAATTTTCCACAGTACGATTCTCACGTCTTTAAACCACTGACTCCCCCATCTCCCCTCTCACTCTCAGAAAGGGACTGTGCCTCCTAATTCCAGAGAAAATAGAAGCCATCAGACCATTGCTCTTAGTCTCCTGCCACCAAGTGTACAAGCTGACCTGCCTCATTCTTCTTCACGGCTGCGTTCCTGCCTGTTACAGTGTGGTATTTTCAAAGACAGAAAAAAGGCACAACTATAACATAAGAGACATGTTCTTTCCAAGGGGAGAATGAAACCATTTTATTTGGGGGAATGTTCAAACAAAGCCATAAACAATTTGTAACAAATACAATTGTTTGTTCCCTAGTCCTGAATAATTACAGTATATACAAATTCAATAAGGCACTGGTTCCCCAAGAGGACACAAATGAGTCTTCTTTTGAAACAGACAACAAAACCCTTTATATATTGCCAACTCTTCTCCAAAAAATATGGCATTGTTTTTTTTTTGTTTGTTTGTTTGTTTTACAAGAGGAATCATAATTGCTAAATTAAATCACTTCTGGTGCCATTTTGTTCTTTTCCACTACTACGTGACTGAGTTTTCTAAGGAGTTATAACCACAGAACTATTCAAGTTTAAAAATTGTACTTCTTTCAGTGCCTTTCCACCTACAAACAGAAAAACTAGAACAGACCAACAACATAAAACACTGTAACTTCTAATGAATATGCATGACTCTAGAAACATGAAATTTGGTTGTTATTCAGTCCTTGCAATACCTGACTACACAACAACTGAAACAAAGAATTCCCTGTAAATAAAATCTTAGCATGTTTTCTAAGCAGCTTTATGTTTTGAGAATAAAAAGAATGGTCACTAGCGACTTTTGAGCGGTGCTTTCCAGGAGGTCCAAGGCCTGTCTCCTCACACACAATGTTCATAGCACTGTTACTTGTGATTTAACAATCTACACAACTTCATAAATAAATATTATGTTTCATTTAGTACTTTATCATCCATAATATTTTACTCTCTAATCCACAAAATGGAGTTGTGCCAGACTCCAAATTGAACATAATATTTATATATACATATATATTTGTATAATATATACACACATAATAAACTATAAACCTGATCATCTTAGCATACAAAACTTATATTAGCTAGCAACTAGTATATTAGGATTCCTTTGGGGGAGTGACTAGAAGAAAATCTTAGTCTTTGAAATAGTCCTTATAGTAAGAAATCAACTACATTATTAATTTCCAGGTACCCACTTATTATATAGAAAAGTAAAAAAAAAAAAAGAAATAAAATAAAATACAATTCACTTCTGAGCTGCTAGAAATTTAAAAATCAAAAAGGATTATTTGGAAGTGAGTAGGTAGTCTCTTTAAGAACAATGTAGGATTCCCTAAGTAAGGTGAATTTGGGGAAGACAGAAAAATCTATTCATAAATAAATTCTTGTTGCATTGAAAGACTATAATAACTACATAGGTGTATTGGAGATTCTCAGGAATAATTTTTAAATGTTCATAGTGAGTAAATCAGGTTGAGAATAAGAAAGTAAGCCTTTGATTTTTCAAAGCAACTAATCAAGTAATATAGAAGAAATTCCTGCCAGTTTTCATTGTAACCAACACGTCCCTAGAAATCTAGTTTACTTTCAAATCATCACCACCCAACAAAATGTTCTGATTTGAAGTTATCATATATAAAAACTTACCATAAAGAACACAATTTGCATCTAAAAAGTAAGTCCAACCTCACTTAAATTTAGGAAAAATCAAGAAACAAAAACACGTCCCCACGTAACTGACATAAATGTTTACTTATTTGTTTGCAGATGATCTGATTAGAGGCACTGAAGTTTCTCTCCATGGCTCAGATGATTATCGCACTCAGTTCAAGCCACAAAGTCCTTCTAAGCTATCACAAAGAATACAACTTGACACAAGAGACAGGAGCCATCACTCTGCCATTCAGGTTATTTCAATATCATCAGAAGCAGCATTCTGATTAAAATTATATTTGAAACCAACTGTTTTTAATATTTTAGAAAACAAATTTTGCTCATATTCAAGAATCAAAACAATTCTTTGTTACAAACAAAATGTGGCTATGAAGCATGGGGGAGCGAATGCTGAATGGGGAGCACCGTGTTTCTTCTTAGGATTCTCCCAGACTGTAAGCACAACTCACGACCACTCTCTGTCTGCTCCAGGATGTTTTCTGAATGAACAAGTCACCAGCTGCAGGCCGACTTCAGAAGTGAGAAAAATATTTTCCCATTTTTCATGCAGCTGTCAAATTTTCAAAGAATGTCCATCCCTCAGTCACCAAGTGGTGAAAATGTGTTATAAAACACTGCCCCCTGGAGCAGTCTGGCAGGAACACCGTTTTTGAAAAGGCTGAGGGGAAAATGCTTCCTGATGCCTTACTAAATTACAGAATTTCTAAGAAGCAAAAGAAAACCATAATAAAGACATGTAAATGAATAAAAGTGAGGGGGATGTGTACAATTTTGAAGTTTATGTCCCTGTTGCTCAGGAATATGGGCTCTGTCAATGATTGGTCTTGGTTGCTCAAAGTGAAAACCCGGCAGAATTGAGTAGGTGAAGAGATTTTGCACAAGTGCCACAGAGAATACAAAATTAATAAATTAAAAAGTGAACTGAATATAATGAGAATAAAATAAAATAGTGTCAGCATTCCTAAGATGTGAAATTATCACTTATGATGTACATACTCAGTCCATATCTATTCTAGCAAAATTAAATCACAGCAGCCATAATATTTTGCGGCCTCCACTAACTCTCCTCTGCTATCCCATTTGGAGGTTATATGTATCTATTTTTTAAATTAAAATTTAGTTAAATTAACCTGACATATGCTTCTCCTCCTCTTAACTCAGACACAAAAGAGACAGACAATAACGAAAAGAAAACTGGTTTTATCTATACAAAGTAAGGTGCGCATAACTTTCCCCTTGTGCTTCTGAGATCGGCTCTTCTGCGTATATAACAAACAAGCCCTGTGCACCCCCACCCTCAGCCTCTTCCTTGCTGACGTGGTCTCCTTACAGCACAAGAGCCAATTATCTCTATTTTAAAGCGTGTGGTCTTCAACACAGCTGATGGCTATTTCATATTGAACCTTTCATTGAGAGATCAAAAGCATGCACGGGTCAATTCTCTGCACATAAAAAAAAAAAAAGGCTTTGTTTGTGTTTAATGAAAAGGAAGGGATCTGACCATGAAAGAAATACCCAACAGAACTAGAAACACAAAGTGGCTCTACAGAAGAACATTGACACTTAGCTACTTCTAACAGAATCACATAAAATCTTCATTTGTTCCATATCCTCTGAAGCTGCAAAAGGCCACCTGCAGGAATCCCAAACTGCGGTCCCGGACAGGCGGTGTTTGTACCCAGGTGCATTCACATTGCTGCGGCCGCCGCAGGGCGGCGCGGGCGGCGGAGTGGTCTGAGGAGGCGGGGCAGGGGCTTTCAGAGTTCCACTCTGCGTTCTCCGACTTCACAGACGGTCTTTTGGTTTGTAGAGTGCAACGACATTTACCAATGAAAAAACTATTTTAATTTACTTTCCAGCAGAATTTCTGGCAAGAACTTTCATTGTTATTATTTAAACTATACTAGTATAAACCTTAAAACATCTAAATTATTTGTTATATCTTGGCAAAATTAAAGCATCTTTTGGGAGAAAAAAGGAGGGGGGGCAATCTCAAAATACGGGGCTTTCTCAGAAAGCAACAAGCATCGTTTCTTGAACAAGTTACCTGAGCAGTTTCAACCTCCTACAGACTTGATAAATCTGTTTCTGGGAACTTCTTTGTCCAGGCTGCTCCCTGAGAGGTGAGGCTGAACCTACTGGGAAGCAGGGCTTATATTCAAGGTGTGTACTGTGGATGCTTCCAGAACATTTTTTGCTTTGCCCGCAAAGAGAAGAAGATCTGACTTTCTCCAGCGATGCCCCCCAACCCCTCAAATCAGAGTTTAATGTCCTGGGACTCCGACATTTTGGCAAGTGTTTTCTTCACCCGCAGGGCTGTCAGTCTTGAGGCGGGATTGGGAGCCCAGCACTCCGTCATCAGTTTCCCCATCTGCCGTAGACACTGCGTGAGGGGAAAGGAAAATTGGGAACAGCGTTAGAGGCACGTGTTTATGATGTGCCAGGCTGGCCCTTGATATTTATGTGGCTTTTAGTTTTAGGTTTCTAAATTTTGAATACATTTTTAAAAGATACTTTTAAAACCATGTAGACAAAATTTCGTAAAAATTCTTTTTCCACACAAATTTTAAATGACTAAACAGGTTTTCATGTCTTCCTTATGATAGGAGCAAGCAGGTGGTTTTGCTGATTGAAGAAGAGTGCCTTTGAAGTCAATATTAAATAAATACAAAAATACCCAGGGAGTCTGTATTCCACTCCACACTCTCAGATTGTTTTTAACACTCGATAAGCTTAAATCTTTTCTCCAATTCCCTACTATTCAAACAAACATGGTTATGCCTAAATCACAGCTGTCTGCTACAATAATAGCACCACACTGTCGCATTTAACAAGATTAATGACCTGTGCAGAGTCTGGCTAAAACTTTCTCCTACATCAATTATTGATCTTCCTGTTGAAAAGTACAATTTCCCTTCATTAGGAATCCTCAGTGAAAGAATCAGGGATAATACCAATGTTCATAACCACCTTCAAAGTAATGTAACTTCAGCATCTCAAAAAGCTTTCTGCATAGTTCATTGGAAAACAATGCATTATTTAGCACTTCAGTAACTAGACACAAAACAAATGAACCAAAGGTTATTTTTTAAATGCATTTAACACTGAAGAATTATTTTATAAACAGTGTTCTGCCCAGGCATTTGTATTGGCTCCGGGGCATGCCTGATGCCTCAAACACATCTCGGAATGTTGCAGTCTGCCAGGGCATCCAGGGTTTGGGTGAACTGACAAGCCAGAGGATGGATGGAGAGGATGAGGAGCTGACGAGCCAGGGAAGGCAAGGCCCGCCCCACTCATCTCCTCCTTCTGAACAGCTTTCGAGCAGGCCCATTTTAGTTTTCACCACTACAGCCTCACAGCCTGGTTGCCTGTGGATTTGCTGAAATCGCATCTCTTCATCCTTATTAACAAAAATCCACAGCACAGTCAGACACCTCAACTAGGTCAACTTGAACCACTTCTGTGTGTAGAAAAATGAATTTTTCAGATGCCTATCTTTTCTGTCATCAAAATGAGAGACTGTTGTACATGGATTTGTCATGGAGAAAATTCATGATGCTTTAAAAACACAACACACAGAGAGAAATATAGCCTCTATGCAGTGTCAGGACCTCACAAATAAATGAAATAATGTCATCTGTTACGCTGACGAAATGTTAACCCACTCAATTTATTTCGGAAGTGGCAAAATCAAATTAAAAAAAAAGAAAGAAACAGGAATTTACCATACTACATTTAGCACCATAGAAATTATTGCAGCATGGTATCAACATTTCTTTGTATCATCACCATCAAAACAAAGAAAAAGAAGAATTCCTGTAATGAATATTTGAAATTTTGGCAAAAAGAGACAAATTATGCAGCACATGGTTTCCTCAAGGCTTACCTCATCGCCACTCCACCGGCTGGGGAAGGAGGGGCGTAGCTTCTTGATGCACACAACCTCTCTCATGTCCTCGAAAGAGGGGTCACTGGGCACTAGGTCATAATAGGGAAGCTGATATTCTTCCACCACTCCTGAAAATATGGTTTTATTATTATTTTTTCCTATGAAGTAGAAATAAACGTCTAACATACACACTGTTCTCAAAAAAAGTTCTATCAGTACTAAAGACAAGTTCAGGCTGAAAAAAGAGCAAAATAAATCTTGAAAAATGTGCCCAAATGACATTGAATTTAATTTTTAAAATGAATAGAAAACCTAACGAAACATAATATTATAGGTTCTCATGACTTTTTTCTAATTTCCAAAAGCTAAGTAAGACAAGCATCTCAAATTTATTTTGAGCCAATCTATAAAGAGCCACTTTAGAAAGGCTCTTGTAAGCCAAATTTTTAAAAATCTATATTAAATCTCAATGCAAATTTGGCAGACACATCCCAAACTCATACTGCATAATATGTGATTGTTCCTATTACGGCAGTATGAGGTTATGGATCATATAATAAATTTGGCCATATATTCGACTTGAACAAAATGCCACATTTACATTTTTTTCTGCTTAATCATAAGAACATGTTTTTGCACATTTAAAACTTGGAGAACTGTACACACCTAAAAACATTAACCATGATTTTTTAAGTACAAAGACTTAACAGTACATTTGACTTTTTTTTCTTTAAATTTTCTGTAGTTATCCAAACTATCTACAAAATCACTATTCGGGAAAAAAAATGTGTATTGTTTAAAAAAGTTTAAGAAACACAAATCTATGTCATCTTTAAGGAAATTGCCCTTATCATTATAAAGTCTATCCTATTTTTCATAGTATCTACCTTTTTCTTCTTGTTCTTTAAAAAGCAGCCACTTGTGGCTTCTTTCCAGCCCCATCTGATTAACTCCTCACAATAATTACAAAAAGCCTCTGTCCTCAGAGGATGCGGCTCTAAACAATCTTCTTGGAGCACCCTTATTCTCTATCCTAAATCATTTTTTATAGAAATGTCACTGTTTTTTACCTTAACAAATGGATTGGCAGATTATCCATTGTATCATTACATTCACTGAGGATTTACTCTGACAAAATCTGGAGTCTGCATTATGCCCCTTTAAAATGTAAACTCAAACCCACATACAACTATAAAGGGCTGAGACCACAGGGGATAATTATTTATATTATCTATGTTAATATTGCCTTGCATTGTGTTTCATCTTTACGTGAAATAACAAAAACACAGGGTCTATTATACAGGAGATGATCACTTCATTTCAGTTCTTCCTTCCTTTCTGATTCCCAAGACAGCAGCTCTGGAATTGTCTTTAGGGCAAAGACTCTCTATTTACTCATCTTATATTCTCTCAGTGCCTAACGTCAGTGTCATTGCCTCACTGGACCGACACTTCAATGCTGGGAGAGGTGCATATAGAAGAACAGACACAGGGACAGTCATATGAAATTATGAATTAATCAAAGTTTATCTTTGAACTATAGGCCTTAATCTTTTTTTTTTTGTCATCCAATTATGTTAGCTGTTATTTAATTGTGTCTGAATCCTCAAAACTTCTTTCTTTTCCTTCCAAAGTTTGAAAGGCATATATCTGGGTGTGTCTACTTCACCCAAAATTACATGGACTAGAAAGACTAAATCAAAACTTCTAACATCTTCATTTTTAAAAAGTGTTGGAGAATAGAGTATTGTGTGCTTCACCTCTTTAGGGGAAAATCTCATTTGTGGAGAGCCTACTATGTACCAGGCATGAAGGCAGGTATGCTCTGTATCTTCGTTTTTTAATCATAGTTGACATACCATATTCTATTAGTTCCAGATGTAACATAGGGATTCAGCATTTACATACCATATTAAATTCTTACGAACACATTTATGAGGCAGAATTATTTTCAACACTGCAGAGATGAGGAAGCTTAGTTTTGAGGGACCGAGTGACTAGTCTAAATTGATACGGGGTAGAACTGGAACTCACATCTCTCACAAGTACACATCAATTTCATACAGCAATAAAAGAACAGTGTAGTGCCTCTCAAATCTCCAGAGGCAAACACAGACCTAAGGAAGCAATTACCACCCTGGCTTGTTTTAAAGCTAAGAGTCATTTCTCCCGTATTCTGCCTCACAGGCTTTCAAACATAGGGTTCTTGTGGCCCTGTTTGCTGTAGATGTTCAGGAAAACATAACTAGAAAAACAACCTTGTACTCTACTATTCCTTCAACTCCTATAGAACTATCTTAAATAAGTATGAACATATTATTCAGAAGTACGCTTGCTTACTCTTTATAAAACATGAAATCATGGAATAGTCAGTTAATTTATATTTTAGTTACTTCCTCTTCATAATTATGACAGGAGATATATTCATTATTTGAATAGGAAAAGTTTCCTACATCAACTTCCCTTTAGGACAAAAGACGTTCTCTCACTTTACAGGGAAGGTGTTCTGCTCTAACATGTGCGTATGAGAAGCTCAGAATTCCCAGAGTGGCTAGAAGGGACTGCATCACCGAAGACGGCCTTTCTGTGAAAGTATAAATGCCTATTGGTTAACTGTTTCTCCGGTATTTGTAAATGGGATTCTAAATGTAACTTAAGGCTCTACCAACCAAAATGAACATTTAAAATAACAGCTAACATGTACTGAGTGCTATTTCCAGTGTTAATTCTCTTTACAATCATTAAAACCTCGAAACCATCTGAGGTAATGCAATAATAATTCACCTCCTTCTTAAGATGAGAAAACTGCAACAGAGAAAAGCTTAGTAACTTGTCAAAGGTTCACAGATAGCAAATGGCAAGGCGAAGAAGGGCTAGCTTAGGGTAGGCCACACTGTCCGAATCCTGGGCAAGCTCAGGTTTTCGTGAAGGCGAGTTTATCTGGCCATGGTGAGGAAGGGCACCAGCACCAGGTTTCTTCACAAGCACGACCATGAATAAAACCATAAGCATGGTACTTAGGGTACTAAAGAGCCTGAGACTCAACTCCTTGCCTGAAAGGTGTTGGAAGCTACCAGAAGACAAATTATGCAGCAGGACGCAAAAAACTACAGACAATAACAACAACTCAGAATATTTAAAGATGCCTTCTCATTCAGTTAGTCTTACTAGGGAAACCTCATGTTTGTAAAAAAAAAAAAAAAAAAAAAAAAAAATTACCATGACCAATAATAATATTCTTATATTTAAACATCCTTTCAATAAAAACTGATGTTTTTAAATTGCTTTATGAGGAAGTACTATAGAAAGTTAATAAGTAGGGGGGGTTAAATAATGAGCTTCCTACCCCATATTTTTGTCTCTTCACCTGAGAGAGGAAGCCAGAGGAAATGGGGCACAGGAGCGGGGGATGGGGCCCAGCAGATTGGTAAGGAGAAGCTAGAAGGGGTAGAGAAGGGGGTTGACTTGATGAAGCAACTCCTGGAGGACAGGCTCAAGGAAGAATTGAGACAACACATAAAATAGAACAGGGTGACCTTTGAAAAGGCAAAGGAGGTTGGCAATGTGTCTAGAAGAGATTCCTGAGTCATAGGTAGAGGGAAGAAGGCAATCCAAGACAATTCTATGAGGCAAAATATCATTTCCTGAGAGGACTGTGACAGAGTTCACAGAAATAAAGAGAAAAATGAAAGAATATTTCATTTTGTAGACAGAGTTTTGTTTCTGACCAGAAAAAAAGGATTTGTAGTAGCCCAACAGCATTACTGTTACTTACCTCCTGATACACATCTCCTAGTCACCTCCCAAAGGATGAGTCCAAAACTGTACATGTCGGCCATGATATAGGACTGAAAGTGATTTCTGTTCAAGGTCTCATCCAACACTTCTGGAGGCATATAGCGTTTGGTGCCAACTCGAGTGTTGGGTGGTATGTCCACTTCATTTGTATCGCTAAGGAGAAAGTAAGCAGAGCACTGTCAGTATGGGAGAGAACCAAGATGTAACAAATGGAGGTGATTCCTGAACCAGGGCCTTAGCGGATGATGGGAAAGGATAACTTTTCAGGGAATACCAGTTCCTTGAAGAATATTTCTTGCCAACAGTTATATTAAATATTCACAGGTAAAAACCCAATGAGGATGACACTCAATCAGAATGAAGTTGCAACATACAAAATTGCATTACCACTCGATCAAATATAGACTCTACATAATTGCTAAATATCAATTAAATGTCTAAAATATACATTCCTTCCCTTCACATTTTAATAACTTTTCTCTTAAAATTGGATTGTGCACATGCTAAATTGGTTTATTCTAGGCAGTATTTTTTTAAGTCAAGTGATCTGAGGCTTTTAGATCGACAAACAAGTAACACAGGGAGAGGGAGAGAGAACCAACAAAGACTTGCAAAGGTTTTACTTCGATAAGCAGAGGCCTATGAAAAAGCTTTCTACTATCACTATTATTTCACAAATCAAATAATAGATTTTTAATAAAAGGATGAAAAGGGCAACTGCATATATCTTTAGCTTTATGAAAATTTCGCAGTATTTGTTAATGCTTCCCGTAGACCAGGAGGAAATGAATGACGGATAGACCCCAACCTGTAGGCGGGCACTTAAGAACACAGCCTCAGGACCAGGAGCTGGAGCCACATTCAACCCTGTGTTGGGAAGTGGCTGAACTACCACCCCTGGATAAGGGGATGGCTAAATGAGGAGACGTGCAGCTTCATGGCCAGCACAGGACTAAGCACACAGCAGAGGTTTAACGAGAACTACCCCAATAGAAAGGGAATGGGACTGGGAAGAAAAGCAATAAACCCCCGTGTCGATAGGTGAAGAAACTATAAAACAGAAAAGGTACAAAAACTCATTAAACTGAAGTTTGTAGAAAATCTTACATAAGCCTTCCTGATTCCCAAGAAAGTGTTCTCTTTTTCTTTTCATCACACTCGATTGACTCTCAAGCACTGACAAGTTATTTCTCCCCAACACTGAAAAGAGCTAGGGATATCGAATATTGCCTTTACCATACTGAGTAGCAGACAACGCCAAGCTTACCAAAACACTAGTGGCTTTGGGGGAAACAAACTCCAGGTTTGATCTTATTGCCTCAATCTCTATCTTCTAAAACATAAAATATGTAGTGTCATTTGGGAAACTTTAAAGGACAGCAAAGGGCCCTCTGTATATCTCAAAACTGTCTACAGTTACTAAATCTTATAAACCCAAAGCTTCTTTCTTAGAATCTTTTAAAATTCACTTTCAGCTAAAATCCTTAATCTAAAGCTATTGCAGCAGACATGTCACAAGTGCACCCAAAGGCCCCTTGTGATCTTCTAGAAGTTACAACTCTGAAGGAGTCCATTTTCCTAAAATAAAAGTTAAAGAGTAAAATCTTAACACCAAAGGGAAAAAAAAAAAAAAAAAAACCTACATAGCTGCTATTGCTTTCCAATTGTAAATGTAAGTCTTAGCATTCGGGCTCTTTTCTGACTAGGAACAGAAGTTAAAACATTAATTCTTAGTATTTACCTGCACAGTATAATAGCAAAATGCCATCTATGTACCTAAATGGTAAATGGTAAGGAAGGCAGGTGAGTGGAGAAGAGGCTGAGATAAACTGGAAAAACATCAGATTTAAAAGGTGCTGCAAAAGCCCCATCTTCAATTATGAAATAAGTTCTCTCCTCTCCCACCCACTGACGCCTCGCTTGTGAGCATACAGTAGATATTGAATTCATGTGTTGTGTGTGTATTTATAATTTACAATTATGACTCATTAGAGGAAGACAGCAGTGGCCGGGGTTAGGGAATTCTGAGTTTTATGCAAAGAAACAAACAAGAGTATGTGCCGATGGAAAGAAGATAACAAAGAGCTTGTTATATTCCAGAACGTGTACTGAGAAAGTAAACCGAGGACAGTCTTAGCAAAAGCCCCCCAGAGTGCATTTAGGTCTAAGATATACTCTGACCACAGCTGATAAAGATTTTAGACAATTCTTTTCCATTCTTACTCTTAGCTCCTTAATGTTTTATTTGGATAGGGAGGTCAGGAAGAGCTAATGCAATGTGTGACTTCGAAACAGCTGTTGGAAAACTGAAAGGTAATTGTTATCTAATAAGAGAATGATTATTTGTGATGGCCAGAGTGTACACGATTCATTTCTAAGCTCTTAGAGCTTTCAAATACTGAAGAATACACAGCCAACAATTCTGTATGTCCATCAAACCTCCAAACACCAGTTCCTTACATAGGCCACGAAACGCCAGGCACGGCCGTCCCTCCTTCACCTTGCTCTCCCCACCCCAGGGGATTTTCCTCCCGGTACCTGAACAAATATCCTCACCTTGTAGTATCTGAACAAATATCTGCCTTCCAACCTCAGGCTGTAAACTCTTTTCAGCCCTGAATATCTGCCGTAAGCGTCTGGTATGACCCCAATGAGGAGAGCCCCGATTCATCTCCATCCATGGAGTGCTCGGCACATGGTAGGCGCATGATATACTTTAAATGAAAGAAGGGAAATGCCTGTTTACAGTAAACTTCACTTGGGATAATTTAAAGAGAAACACAAAAATCTCTATGATGTATAGATCATACAATGAGACATTACTGATTTCGAGGAAGATAAATAGAATTTTGTTAAGCAAATTAATTTTGCAAAAGATTACTATTAACCAAATGGTAAATGCCATTAGCACTACATTTAAACAACAAACATGCTCATTATAAGTAACTCATATCTGATATTATAAAGTATCAGATCCTCCAAAATACAGAACTCTGCCTCCTCTTCCCTCGGCAGTGTTTCTATATGTGACAGTAATTAAACTGAATTTCTTTATCTGGTTTTCAGAAATATCATCTAACTGTCCCAAATAAGGGCAGAGAATAACTGAGCTTGTTAATCTTCAAGGCCACAAACAGAAATTAAAGTGATTGGACACTGGAGCCCCAAGAACAAAGGAAGGAAGTGGAGTCCGATGGAGCAGAACACGGAGGGAGCAGCTGAAGGAAAGGGCCCCAGGAGAAAGGGGAAGGCAGGAAAGGTCAGGGCACAGAGCGCTGGCCCCATCCCATTCCCCTGGGGATGGGAAGCGGTGAGAAGCGAGGCGGGCAAGGAGAGAGGGACACATTCAAGGGGAGTGGAGTCAGAGAAAAGGACTCCAAATCCACAGCATAACCTATGTCTTGCAGTGGCTGCACATATATGGAGTCAAATTTTAAAATCATAGGCAGGAAAGGTAAATACCAACTTCAGGATACTGGTTACTTCTGCCAGGGACAAAGGGGAATAAAATAGAGAGGAGACTACAACAGGGCTATCTTCAGTGCTATGTTCCTGTTAAAAAGAAAGACCGGCCCTGGCCGGGTTGCTCCGTTGGTCAGAGTGTCATTCCCATAGGCCAAGGTTGCAGCTTTGATTCCCCGTCAGGACACATACAAGAAGTAGTCAATGAATGCGTACATAAACGGGACAGCACAATGATCTCTCTCTCCCCCCCTTCCTTTCTCTCTCTAAAATCAATCAATAATAATAAAAAAAGACCAGATAAAATAAGGCAAATCAGTAACATTTGTTAATGTTAAATTATGAGTGCTTCATTATTTTTTATACTCTTTTTATGTTTAAAATACAGAGTGGAGGAAAAATAGGTTTAGAGTTGTTCATATGTAAAATAATACAATAAAAAATTAAATAAATAATAATGCAGGAATAAACTCTGTGTTTCACATACTCACAGTTGTAACCCTACTCTTGCCCCACCCTGTATATTATAATTAAATATGTTTTAAATAAAAAGAACTCAGGAGGATCAGGAACAAGAAAAACATACATTCTAAGGATGAAGGCATAGGTTAGAGGCAGAACACTCAGAACATCAAAAAAATCATCTCAATAAACAATAAAAGTACAAAGGAAAATTGCTACCAGGGAGAACTGAAAATATTCCATCAAAACCATGGGCACTGCATTCACTGTAAAGAAAACATATTTTCTCTTCTCCCTTCCCATGGGAAAGGATTGAAAATATTTGTGTAAAGGGATCATGATTGAAGAACTGGGTTTAGAGAATTACAGGGGTATTTTTCCCATTTGTGTTTTTATAGTTAGTACCGCCACCAGACCCGTCATAACTGCTGTCCCTGTTAATGTGAGTACCAATCTGATACAGACTTAACTAGAATTGAAATAAATAAAAACAAAAACATAATTTGAACAAAATAAAATAAATTAAGGAATGTCAAGTAAATTCTTCTCAAGGAAAAAACTTGTTTTGGAATCACACTTCAAAGGGTGTTTTTCTTTGTGAATGTTAGGGACAGTGGGACTGGGACAGGATAAAATAAAAATATCTAAAATTTTCTGAGTAAGAAGTGAACAGTAACTTGGGTCCTACCCCGGTGGCTTGTGTGGCTGGAGCATCATCCCAGACACCAAAAGGCTGTGGGTTCGATCCCTGCTCAGGGCACATCCCTGGGTTGCGGTTTCCATCCCCGATCGGAGCTCACACGGGAGGCAACAGAGAGATGTTTCTCCTCACAGTGATGTTTCTCCCCAACCCCTGTCTCTCCCCATCTCTCTCCTCCTCCCCTCCCCTTCCCTTTCCTCTTGGTATAAAATTGAAAAAACATATCCCTTATGTGAGGATTAAAAAAAGGAGTCAACCAAATTTTAGGGATAAAGGGCAAGTCAGCAGGGAGAAGAGGGTTCCCCTCTCCCACCTAGGGTCATGACAAAATGTTAATTCCCTGTAGGAAAAAAAATCAGGAAAAAATACTCTGGATGCATGAATATTAAAACTAAATTTTATGTAATAACCTACAACACGTACCTTGAGCTGATGGTGTTTGGAAAGAAAAGAACCAGCAGCTGTATCGTGCTATAAAAAATACATCCAAGGTAGAAGACTCATATGGCAAAAAGGAAATGAAACTTTT